GGGAAGTACCAGTAATGCAAAACAGAAAAGGAAAGACCATGGACAATGATTACGTAGGGGCTTATAGTGTGTGTGTCTTGTGGTAGAAGGTGGATGGATCACCAATAGCATTCCCCTGCAATCCCGATAGAGTTAATATCCTCCAAAAGCTCATTCTAGGTTTGCACATGTACGCATGCCAGTAGAGGCGGGGCTTCCATTTTGAGTGACGATAAGTTCAACTCGCCGTCACATGTTTGCTCAAATTCATGAGCTGGAAATTCGTAGAATGAGGAGGGTTTTTTGGATACCACCCGTGCATGCGTGTTATGTTCGCTGAGTCTTCAAAAGCCGGTACAAGGACGTTTAATGTTGAGTGTGGTCTGCGCATTAGCCAGCGTAACCTGGGAGGTTGTAAGTAGGCTGATGCTCCTATATAAGTAGATGTTTGCTATCGGCTCAAATCACGCGAATGTAGCTCCTTTCCGGGGTAATACTGGGGTAATATACTCCCTTACCCCAAAACCACAACAGATCCAAAAAAGGAACTACAGTGGAGCTTTCGGGTAAAAGCGTCCAAGCAGGTGAATTCTGGTTCAGGTCCTGAGCTGCCACTGCGAACCCCTACTCCCTTTGGGATGGGCCATAAGCCCATGAAGTGGGAGCTACTTCTGCACTAATAATATGTCCATCCCACCTAGGCTACTTGTAGAGTTATGGTAGAGGTTAGCTCAAGTAGACCTCACACTGATATTGGTAATCACTTGTGCCCCGGTAGTCCCCCTCACGCGTCTCCAGATATGCAGGTTCCTCAGAATAGTCCTGTCTTTGGTTAATTATGACCCTGCATACCCTGTTTGTGATTTCCAGATACCTCTCTAGGTCCCCAAATAGCACCACTTAGCTGATACACTAGACTAAAACAGGGAGACCCTAAACCCTAAACCCTAAACTGTATCCTTACAGCCGGGATGTCTAATCTTAAACCCCCGACTCCATATGGGTGTCTAGGGTTGGGGTCCATATGTGCTATAGTCTAAACTCCTTAAAGGGGGTTAACTAGGGGATTATATAGGGGACTACTATACGGGTTATTAAGGGGGATACTAGGAGTTTAGACTATAGCTCATATGGGAGCTCCAAGAAAGAAGGTCCATGCCCCATCATTTTCCAATCCGTATTGTATAAGCTTCAAATGTGGGACCGCTAGTTCTGCAAACTCTTAGCCCTATATGCCTGCATTTCTCTGAAGTTCAAGGCATGGGGGGGGCCCTGCTATGAATCCTATGTCCTATATACCGTAAGAAAGGTTCCTAGAATCGCGCTTAAACAGGTAAGAGCCCATGTGAGGGGGACAGATTTCCAATTTTGATGAGCCCTAGACCCTAAACCATAGAGCCCAGTCAGAGGATTCAGATAACATTTCGTATATGTATATATATGTATATATATGTATATACCCTAACCCTAAACGCACTCAACCCTCACTACTTACAGAGTATGTATCCTACATACACATACGCCCCTAAACCCTACAAATGAGCATCTATATCTACATCTGTATATATATATACGCCCAAGAAGCCCTATGGGGCCAAAGGTATGCAGCTCATCTTCTATCCCTGCGGTTATAACGGTTCTACCGACGGCTTCTGCTCGCAGCCCCCTCAGCTTTGCAGGATGTGAGTTTTGGGCTACTCAAAGTGTTTGTTGAAGTGCTTTTTATGATTGAGTGCATTTAAAAAGTTTAGGTTTGAAGGTGTTGTGGGCCTCTTTGTTTTCTTGGTTCCATGTGCGTTTTTCGGTTTAAGTGTTGGCCTTTCAGGATTCGGGGGTTTCGTTGGGTCCCGGCCAGAGGCAAAGAAACTTCTCAAACGAACCCTTGCGAGATCTCTCGGAAGCACCCCTTTAATTCCCTGTGATCTGTGAATGCTTGTACATAATTTGACTTCCGCATTGAGAGATGGAGGAAGGGTACCCCCTATCCGCTCCAGCGCCGGCTGTTTGAATGCAGGGCATTGGCGTCCTTCTCTAAGCGCTAGTTCTGCACAGACATGCCTATCCTGGGTTCCTTCTGGGTTATCCCTGTTATTTTAAACGCTTGTACAAGGCAGGATGGTCATGTTCATTATGAATTTGGTGATGGTATACAAACCCCGGACCCTAAACCTATATGGGGGTTTACCAAAATTAGGGGTACCATTTTGGGGGTCCCAATAGTAAGGACCATAGTATATTGGGGTCTCTATTGGGGTCCCCTTATTTTGGGAAACTACCATATGTGTCGTATCCTTTGAGGTGACCAGGCTTCCTGACCGATGCAGGAAGGTTCGGAATTTACCGTCATAGAACCCCTAAGCAGAACAAAAAATTCCCTTACCCTAAGCCTCCAAATAGCCCAATGTAGGTCATATTTATAGACTTTGGGGCCCAATGTAGGTATTATTTATAGACATGGAGCCCTAGGGTTAAGATTCCATGATATCAGTCCGCTTGTTTGGGAAACCTTCCTTCCGTGAGCCGCATGATCTGAAAGCTGGGCCCTAAAACATAAAGCCCAAAGCGTTTAAACCATACCTAAACCTTCAAAGTAAGTGAAATAATGGCCCAAAACCCCTAAATATGTCCCAAAAAACCATTATTCTACATACTTTGGGGGTCCAGGTAGACATCAAACTCTGTGCCCTAAACCCTACGCCCTAGGCTGTATCTCTATGCGCCTGCTGGCGCGACGTTGCGCTGCAACCTGTTTGCCGGGCGCGCAGTGAACCTCAAATTCTTGGGATCCGAATCGCCCAAAGCAGGTGCTACATGTACATCCCTAAACCCTAAACTGTGGGACACAAGGTAAGGATTTATTTCTAGATTTGGATCCCGAATTTGTAGTATGTTGGAGCACAGAGCTTAGCATGGTATGGATCTAGGGCATGGGTCTAGTGTTTAGGGTTTGCAAGAACTCTACTTGTCAATCCCATTGCTGCAGTAGAAGGGCCTTTTTCCCTCATCCTCAACATAGTTTAGAACTCAACTCATACCCAGTGAGCGCTTCCTGATGTATGAGGGGCCTCTAGACGTGGTGGGATTTCCGTGGCATGTTAGGCTTTTTTGGGGGGTCATATGGAGATGGGTAGAGTTCATTTGGAGTTGTTATATAGCCTTTGTCCGCAGAGCGTACTGGCGGCGCCCTAGTCTTGATGGGAGCACATCTCCGTTTGGATGTGGTGCCCCGCAAGCTACGGGCCGTTTATGAGGCTTCCTGAAGTCAGGGTAAAGTTGGGGGTCCCCACGATAAGGATTATAGCGCATTGGGGTCTATATCGGGGTCACCCTACTTGTGAAAACTACCAAATACGTAACTCCTGTAGTCATTGTAGTATGGTCCTGGTGTGGGCAACGCAGTCTTACTCATTTCTTGTACATTGTACACAGCAAGCCGGGCAGAGTTTTTGTTTAAACTCGAAGGCCCTCCATACACAGCTAAGGAACGCGCTGCAGACAATTTTACAAACAATAATGCAAAAGCTTGAAAGCCTACTAACATAAATCTTCCCATTGCCATAGCTCGTACACAACAAGCAGGAATGCACCCAAAACCGATTCGGATTATGTAAGCCCTTACCGGATGCAGCTCGCACAAAAAGCTGGAGCCCCTTCTGCTCTGCTTATTGCTCATGACCAGCTTCCTATTGTAGCACGCAGATTCGCTGTTTAGAAACATATGTTTCCCAAAATAGGAGGACCTCAATATAGACCCCAAATTACTATAGTCCTTATTATGGGGACACCCAAAGCCTAAACCCTAAACCCTTTTGGGAAACCCCCAAACAGACTTCAAGCAAGAGTGTGCCTCGGAAATTGCTGACGCACAGGCAAACTTATATCATGGGACTACCATGGGTGTAGGGTTTAGGGTTTAGGGTCTAGGGTTTAGGGTTTAGGGTTTAGGGGGGGCCTCACAATTATGCATCCCCAAAACTCTTGAGGTTAACCCCTAGTGATCACTGCTGAGACTTACTTTAGATCTAAACCCTGAACCCGACTAAGGCTTTAGATGGTGCTGGACTGGATTCTGTACTGGGGGGTTGGGGGGGAGGCACAACAACCACAACCACAACCACAACCACAACCACAACCATAACCACAACGACCACCGCAACCACACTTGCCACCGTCCATTACGATTTAGGGTCGTTGTGGAAAGTGACAACTGCCTGATTCAGAATATTGCTGACATTCACACCGGTCAGTGACTTCCACGGTTGCTTGCTCTAGACTGAGGGTTTAGGGCAGTGCAGCAAGATGTTTGCATGTTATTTTCGACAACCAGGAGAGATGGGTTTTGCTTTTCGGGCCTTGAGTATATCATGGGTTTTGTTTTTCAGGCCTTGAGTATGCATGGAACACAGTGAGGTTATAAACGAATCAAGAAATGCAGGCGCAGGGCTTAGCGAGTTGTCATGGAGGATTTGGCAGTTTATGAGATACTGTAAGGGTGTATGTCAGAGTAGACTGGTGATGTGCTTGATCACAGGGGTTCACAGGGATTATGTGAAGTTCAACTTATGACGGGTTTGTGTACAGCCTTAGTGAGGTCTACATCAGGCTTGCGAAGGGTTGCTGAGTTCTTTGTGTGCGCAGGGATGTGATTTGATTTAGGTGTGGCATTCAATCTTTGGGAACACCATTCTCGGATGATCAGTGCGTTTGACGTCACTACGATGCTAGTAACCACAGATCGCACTTGGATGAGCCGCTTGGAGAGCACAGCCTGGGTTTTCATGCCCTTGAATTGCAAAGACGGCGCGCAGGCCCACGGGCTCAGCACGCTCAGGGCCTCTCTTCAATGCCGCTTTGCTGCATTGGACTGGTTGCCTCAATCTGGAGCTTGGTCCTACAATTTGGGTCAATTTGGAAGTCTTCCCGAGTTTGATCGCAACTTGCTAGTGCAAAGCAGTGTGGTCTTGCATAATTACCTACACCAATTTTGCTGCGGAACTTCAGCAGTCGTCAGAGATCTGCACATGCATCTTTCAAAGAAGGTTCAGATGGCCAGGAAAAAGGCGGAGCAGGCCAGCCTGACAATGCTCCCTTCTGCTTTGCAAACTTGTGATTGCATACGGGTTCAGAGGGATATCTTTAGATCGTCCGGGAGGGTCGCAGTCAGAAAGGGGGCTTATATGCAGATGTTGGTAGTACATCATCATGTCAAGGTCCCTGCCCTACAGCCGCAAGGTAGTAGCAGCAACCTGGTCATGAGGATGGGAATCATACTAAGCCCAGCAGCTATGTCTCCAACCACGATCTTTGCTGCCGGGGATGTCGGAGGGACATAGTGACCTGTACAGAGTCATGTGTTTTGCCAAGAATGCTGCGAAGGACTCCATCCTCCTTGCCAACCGAATTCGACTCCTCAGGAATGAAGAGGCCTGCACAACCTGCACAAGCTGCCCTGGCTACGGATGATTTCCGCGAGTGCATGGGAACTTTTGCAACCATGTTTTTTTGCTTGAAGTGCAGCTGACAGGCAAAGACTCGCAAGAAGATCGTAGAAACAGAAAAGAAGACCCAGGCTGGCTGTTGAAGCAACAGGCCTTTCCATTCACTTGCGGCTGTCTGGGTCCCCCTGTCAGGAGATCATAGATGCCCGGCGGCGCAATGAAAAGCGACGCCAGGACAAGGAGGCCTTTGAGGCCCCTGGCATACTGTTTCGAGGGCATGTCAGCTCATTTAGAGTTTAGGACTTGGGGCTGCCCGCTTGATAGATTGACCAAAGCTTCTGCACAGGTACATGTGTGCGCTTTAGTGAAGAATAGTACTTTTGTGCTCCTTGCCATGCGACTTCAGGCGCACAAGGAGGCCCTGGAGTCTGCAGAGACCTCAGTCTTGTCTGAGCTGACGGCTGCCTTTGTTGCCATACTTTCGGCAGCCTAGGAATTTCGGACCAAGCAGATGATGGTGATCAAGAGCGCGTTTGACGGCATTCCGAATTTCACTTGAAATCGCTTTGAGTTGCTGGCCCCAATCGTAGCATGCGGTTTCATTTTGATGTCGATCTTTGATGAGTTTCCAGTTGATCTCGTCGTAGCTCACATGACAGGATCGTGCTGACCAGCAGCACAAGGTCCAAGACAAGCTGAGGACCGCGCTTTGGAAGCAGGTCTGACTATGGTTGGGTGAGGCCGAAGGAGACGTAGGGCTGATGCGGCCATGACCTAGAAATAAGGGTTGGGGGTCCTCCGAGCAGAATGAAAGCATTCAAGGAGCATACGAGAGCGAAATCAAGGCGCAGGAAACGTCATTCGTCAGGAGCGGCAGGCGACGCGTGCCTGCTGCACCCTGCCGCTGTATTCGTGCTGCAGCCATGAATATCGATACCGTTCAGGCTTATCAGGAGGTCGTGGACTTCGAGCGCCAGGCCGCCGCTGATGAGGCAGGCGGATGCGAATGTATGCTATCACGAAGTAGGACCCCATGATATCTTCCTGAGCCTTCACTTTTCTTTGTCTTGGGCTAAAGCTCTGGAACATCCTGCACGGAGCAAGGCCTTTGCTCGAGCCGAACAGGCGCGAAGTTGTAGATGAATTTTTGGGGCTTCCTTGATATGTGCCTTTGTGGGGTTGCAGCACTGTATGATGAAAATTAGAACAGCTGGCCCAGGTTCGGGCAGCAATGTCGCAAGCAGCGAGGACTGTCCTAATGGCCTCCATCATGGATGTTCGTATGTACCTGCTTCTAGGTGCAAACATGAGGGCGAAGTTTAGCGCACGTGCCCCTTTCAAGCCGTAGATGGAACATTTTGCAAGTCTCGAGAGGAGCCGGGCACGGTCGGAAGGGGCGAAGCAGGAGCAAAAGCACTCAGTTCAGCCCAGACGTTGTAATCAGCCCGTCATCGAAGCTGAGCAGGAGCTTGCCCGCGGGGCCCTGCGTGAACGCCTCCTGCGCGAGGAAGACGAACGCCGGCATCGCCTGGCAGACATTGACAGGCACCTGCCTTTCATGGATCTGATGTTGCGACTTTTTTCTGCATGCGGCTGGATGGCCAGAGCAATTCTTTTGGCTTGGCCAGGATGGAACGGGAGGAGAAGGAGCTCATGGAGAGACTTCAGCGTTCTCAGGCACCCAGAGGGATCCAGAGAGCAAGCATGTTTTATCCGCACAAGCAACAATTCACAACCTTCATTGCTTCGAGCCCTTACACAACAGCATGGTTCACAGAGTTCTGTCCAGAGAACAGCATCCAACGATGCGCAACAGAGCACATGCCCAAGCTGAGCAAATCTGTGGAATCTCACCTTGGCAACCTGGCCGAGGAACGACACCGAGTTGCTTACATGCAGCTTGAGGCATGGCTGGCCCGGAAAAGTGATTTGGGTCAATCATCTCACTCACGTTCCGCATGCACATATTTAACCACTTCAGCAGAGGCTGTGAAATTTTACTGTCAGAAACGGAGGCAGCTTTGCTCGGAGGCATTCTCTGAGATCAGCCTTCATTTGAAGAGTCGGCATAGTTAACACGCATCACAGCTGCAGAATGCCTGCATAAATCCTCATGTCAGGATGTCCTCCGGCAGTCTGGCAGTGAGACGTAGTCCTCTCAGATAGTAGCCAGATCTTGTTTACGCTGAGCTTCACGCAACTAAGCTTTAGAAAGCTTTAGAGCTTTGCAATGCAATAACGGCAGTATAGGCTTTGTCAAGCAGGGCCACAGTCCGAGAGTATATGGGTGGTTGTCAAAATTATGGTCTCTTTTTGGGTACCCTGAATATTAGGTGCTGTATTATAATAGGGACCCAAAAAGGGACCATAATTTTGACAACCACCCATATGCTGTTGCTTTTGAGCCCTTGCATTGCAGCCCACACTGTCATAGCTTGGCAGTTATCAGTCCAGGTCCGTTGGTCTTTCGCCTGTGGGCTCCATGCAGGCATCTGCTTTTCTTGCCATCTCAAATAAACTCTGCTTTCAGACCGAGGTGCACAGCATAAGTTATCCAGGAATCATCCGATCATTTGTCTTTGTGCTCATGATGGGAAAGTTGCAAGCATGCTGGCAGGAACATTTTGTCTGATGAACTTCGTGATGCTGTAGAACAGATTATAACAGGTGCAGCCCAACCGCCGGCGACCAGACCGTGATCTCTGCGCGAGTCCTGCTCGGATCAGCCCCGAGCTGCATGGGCCCCACCTGTGGATTGCCTTGACTTGCAGGGCAGTTTGATGTTGACCGAGCAAAGCTGCTAGGAAAGCTGCTGTTAGAAACGTGAGTGCTCGGAAAGCAGATCCTGCTGCTTTCGCCGAGGCATGCGGAGATCATCTTCGGGTCGACACGCGACTCCGCATCGTCGCGAGGATCTAGGCTGCCTCTGATCAATTCACTGTTGCAATGCGTACATGATGGGCAAAGCTGCCAGGCCAGTTGAGCTTTTCATGTGTCTGTTAGAGGCATCCAGATCCCACGCCAGCGGGGCGAAGTGGGCCTGGTCCCTGAGAGCTGGACGTGCGTCAACTATGTGCCAATTATGATGGCTACACGTAGCTTACAACACAGAAACATGCTGCGACCCAGATCAGCGCGTGCAAAGTGTACACGAACAAGCAGAAAGAAGTCTTGAGAGGCTCAAGCCCCCGCTAAAGTACCCAGGCCTGCCAATGCACGACCACCGCTGCCACGTGCGCCTCCTGCGGGCGCAGGTGCAAGGCGATTTGGCCTACACTTTGGCAGATTTCACAGTTTTGCTCAAAGCATTTTTGTTTGGATGTCGTATTCGGAGATGACTGAAACATTGCTGCATGTCTCTAGCATCACTTCAGTAGTCTGCTTCTTTTACAGAGGAGACTTCCAAAGTTTGAGATGCTACTTGAAGGTGACGCAGTATGCCTGGCGCAAGCACAAGGCCTCTTTCATGTTTTCGTACTTGCAGAGGCCGAGCTCGGCCTCTCGCCAGGTAGCGCGCATGCTGGGGCCTGATGGGGTTGGTTCGAACATGTTCAAATCGTCCTTGCACCGAACACTAGCAGTGTTACAGGTTCGGTGTCTGTGGAGATCTCTTTTTGAGTGTCCTCCTCATGAAGCATGGCGATTGATCTTATCATCACCACCATCATCATCGTCATCATCATCATCATCATCCTCAGCAGCATCATCATCTTCACTGTTATCAGCATTCATCGTGTGCAGTGGCACGATACTGCCGAAGTGGAGACCGGTCCAGGGCTTGACAGTTCATGAAACCTGGCAGCTTAGGAATGCTGCCGGTGCAGCAGGCGACGCTGTAGCGGCCTTACCGAAGGGCAGGACTTTCATTAAAGCTTATCTTGGAAGCTGTAAATTCTCCGCGCAAGATTTTTGTAAGCACAGGGCAAGAGTCAGAAGAACAGAAAGTTGATAGCGACAGGTCGCACGTCGCACGTGCCATGTGAGGATTCCCCGCCCTTAACTACTGACCACCAGGTGGACAAGCTGCGGCAGAAACATTCGACCAGCGCCATGAGCAATGCAAGTACTGCCGCGACCTTGTCTTCCGCTGCTCCTCACCACAAGACGCCTTCCTGGCATGGAGGGATCCTGTTGCAGCATAAAACAGACAAAGCCCGCGTAACCATGGAATCTTGTCACGCAGGGACTGTAGGATTGTGTATGACAAATCTTGCTCAGGCAAGTGGCGCGGAGACAGCAGTTGGCAGCTTGCCCAGCGCAGAGCCAGCTTGGGTGCCATAGCCCCCTGATTGGCCTGGCTTAGGGACATGTCACACACTCAAGGGCAGCAAAGATGTGCCGTAAGGTGCCTGCGAGGGAAGTGGCCAGAGTACGCCATCCTCTGCTGCAGCGCACCAAATAAGGCGCATGCAGCAAATCAACGTGCAAATACTTTTAGCGAAAAGCTGTAGAAGTGCTTCTTATGGGAGATTTTTGTGGTTCAGGTATACCACGGTCGACGGCCTGCAACTCGACATCCCTGCAGAGGATTGTCTATGACATTTGGTACATTTACCAACTGCCCGCTTGTAATTAAGATGCCTCTTGCTCTTGTGGGCACGAATGCCTGAGCAGCGGGTTGCAACTGTTGTGCCTAACAATCATTCAACCCATTTGTCAATCTGAGAGGGTCCGGCATTACGTCATGCTTCGACAGGAGGACTTGGACCTCGCGGCACTTCTCAATGGCAGGCGTAGCTGAATTAAATTCAGTGGGAGTGCTTGAAAGTTTTTAGTTTGGAAACACCCATCAAACACGACTGGCAAACTGGCAGGTGATTCGAGCACGTAGCTTTCTTCTGCTTTGCCTGCGCCCAGAAGAGGAGTGTGAGAGTTGCATGAGCGTGGAGGGGATTTCTTTGGATTCGTGCACAGCTTAGTATGGCTGGTTACCCTTCAAAGGTCAAGTAGGGTCACTGGTCGTATTCTGCAAGTCCTTGCCCTTTACCTGTCAGCCCACACCCCATTGCATTTTCAATGCTATCGTGTGCACTGTTTCTTGCATGTTACGAACGGCAGTAACAGCAAGTTATGATGTTTTATTCATGCCGCTGTGTGTGTTTGCTGCAGTTTGTTTAGGCCTGTGGTTCTGTTTGTCTGTTGCCCCATTGCGAGGACAAGCGAGCATTGATAATGGACGGCCTTGCACGAGACACGTTGCGAGGACTGACGGCATGGGACATGGTTTCAATCTCACGCTCGTGACCTTCATCCACGTGCTTCGTTGAAGTCCCATGCTGTCGCTTTGGAAGTGCTTGGGTCAGCCCAGCAGCTCCCCACCCCATTCAGATGGCAATGTTTTAAGAGTTGCATTCGTTTTTGCTGAGCAGCAACCGAGCCGGGGGTGCTGCTGGGAAAATCTAAGTGCGCTCTTGATGGCCTTCTTCACGCGCATGGCCTCATCATGCCTGGACCACTGGAGGGATGGCACAAACCTAACTTTCACTTTGGCGCTTTTGAAGTTTTCTCTTTTGATGTTTCACACTCCCTGGAATAGTTCGTTTCACCCGAGGATGCAGCTGCATTGTCGGACCATCTCTGCGAAGTCTGGACCAAACAACTCGGCTAGTCTAAACTCCTTGAAGAAGGTTGTAAGGGCGGTTATATAAGAGAGTAAACTAGCCCCGTAATGCTCTATCGTGTTGATAACCTAGGGGAGCCACGAAGGACATATGCAACCTGGAACTTTTGTGTCGAAAGCCCTGGAGCTCGTATACCTTACGCGCGTGCGGTCCCCCGTCATCGCAACTGATGGATGTGTATGTATAGACCAGATTGCCTGCCGTGTGAGTAACTGGCAGAAGATTGTGAATTTCCTTTGTTTACGATTTGGAGGCAGCTCAAACAGCTGGACTTGGGATGGTGTTGTCCATGTTGGGAGAGTTCTTTGTTCCAGTCCAGCATTTTGCCATTGATTAAATCCATCTTCACATCTAGTAATTACTAGTATGACTACTACTATTAGCACTACTGTCATTACTATTGCTACTATTACAGCGTTAATATTTTTTATTTCATTGCTATTGTTACTATTTAGCATTGAAGGCCAGTTGCTCGTGCATTCTGACGGTCTGAGAGCATGAACATGCCCTGGCAAAATGGAGGCGCAACAGCGTTCTCTCGACATTCTGTCGCTGGGCAATTTAGCAGTATGCTGCTGCGAAAAAGGAAACGTCGCTTCACGACACATAGCCTGGTGGAATACAACGCAACCTTTCCGGGACAACAGGTTAAGTTTCTACATAGATTCAAGGGAGTGCACTTGTTCCACCGTATTGATTCCTACCTTTTGGCCACGGTATACGACGG